AGCTCTAATTTTCCATGATAAACCTAAAATCAAAAGCAAACTTTTTAGGTATTTAGAATTTATTTTATTGTGGTGATTGAGGCACCAGTAAGCTTCCAAATTACTTTAAAATTGTAAATATATCAAGAAAACTTCGTGTTCAACTGATACTTATATATGTGCTCTTTCATTTTAATCATGGATTTGATCAGAGAATTTGCATTTTTTGTGGGTTTTTTTTTTTTTTTTAAAGGGGGGGTGGGGAGGAATCCAGGATCCCTGCTGCTGATGTAAGTGGTAACCTAAGAAGCTCATGCTTCTCTGAATGAGTTATTCTGTCAGGTGCCACCCTGCCCTGACTTCTGTTTAAAGGGACATTTCCCTTTGCATAGACTCAGTGTTTGGGAAATTAGTTTTGAAATGATTTAACTAAACCTACTGCAAGTAACCATGCAAGGGTGGTGTGTGCTCTGATTGCACTTAAATGCACATCATCCCAATATGTCTGCCTTCAAGTGAGGCATTGTGCATGCATAGTAAAGAGTCCAGGGTTGCTGTTTCTTATTTTAATGGTGGCATAAAGCATTTTTAGTCTCCTCCTGTCTAACACAATTCTGGGCCTTGGTTGAGTATCTCAGAAAGCACAAGCTGCACAGTTGCATATCCTGCTGGATTTCTTTCCCGTATGTTTTTCATTCCAAGTGAAGTTCCACTTATCCCATGAGAACTATGGAAATTCCTAGGCCCTGGGTGAGCACACAATTCAGCGTGTAGGTAGTAACCCCATGTTAACTGCACTGGAAATGGTGCCATTCACTTCAGTGCTACAGAATTAGAGATATTGGTGTGTAATTAACTTGTGCCACCTCTGTAGTTTTATATCTCAAAGATAAGATCTATAGTACTGTAAATCAGACAGGGAAATTTCATACCCAGCTTCATAAATAGACCATGTGCAGTATATAAATGTCAATTTCTCGTTTAACTACCGTTTAAAATTAAGCACTGGTTTGGCAGTGCTGTATGCAAACGGAGATGTAGTTAAGGTTGAGCTGGAACTTGGATGCATTATGTAAATTAATTGAGCTGAGGTGTCTCACAGGAAACAAAGATATAATTAACTTCTCACATGGGTTCTGATGACTTAAAATAGAAATAAAATCCTTTATGAAGTGTTACCCTGAAGTAATTGTTCCTTGTTTTGCTCTCTTCCCTAAAAATGGCAAGCTATTCTCTGGTTGCAACACTATCCCTGGCCCAAAGCCTGATGAAGTAACTGGGAAGACTCCCACAGACTTTGCAGGCATGGGAGTCCTGCAGACTACCCCTGATGCTCGAGACTGTACGGGGGCTGTTAGGAAGGCTAAGGTGGAGACAGAACTTGGTCTAGCAACCAGGATCAAGGATAACAAGAAGTCCATTTTTAAATGCATAGGGAGTAAAAAGAAGGCACCGGCTAACATGGGGCCCCTGCAGGATATGCTTGGCAATCCGGTAGTTGCACCAGATGATAAAGCTGACCTCTTTAACAAATTCTTTGCCTCCACTTTTCTGAGCAGGGACTGGTACCGCCCCCTCCCCCAGGATCTTGGATGGACTCAGGAGAGGCACCACCAGGCCTAGGGTCAGGGAGGACCTAGTTAGGGAACTTCTGGTGGGGCTGGATGTGTTTAAATCAGCAGGTCCAGATGATCTCCACCCCAGGGTGCTGAGAGAATTAGCAGGGGTCATTGCAGGGCCCCTGGCATAGCTTTATGAGCACTCACGGTACCCTGGCCAGGTGTCACAGGACTGGAAAAAGGACAGTGTGGTCCCCATTTTCAAAAAAGGGAGGAAGGAGGACCCAGGTAACTACAGGCCTGTTACTCTTACCTTGGTCCTGGGGAAGCTCTTTAAGAAAATTATCAGGGAGCATATCTGCGAGGGACCAGCAGAGGAGATTATGTTTAGGGACAATCAACATGGGTTCATTAGGGGCAGATCCTGTAAGACCAACCTGGTGGTCTTCTATGACCAGGTTACAAAATCCTTGGATGCACGTGTCACAGTGGACCTAGTCTTTCTGGACTTCAAGAAGGCCTTCGACACTGTCTCTCACCCCATTCTCATTAATAAACTAGGCAACTGTGGCATTGCCTATACAGTCAGATGGGTCACAAATTGGCTGGAGGGCCACACCCAGAGAGTGGTGGTGGACGGGTCATTTCGACCTGGAGGGATGTGGGCTGTGGAGTCCCCCAGGGCTCGGTCCTCGGGCTGTACTATTCAACATCTTCATCAGTAACTTGGACGAGGAGGTGAAAAGCACCTTGTTCAAGTTCGTGGATGATGCCAAGATGTGAGGAGAGGTGGGCATGCTAGAAGGGAGGGACAGGATACAACTAGATCTGGACAGATTACAGGGGTGGGCAGATGAGAACAGGGTGGGTTTCAATACTGACAAGTGCAAGGTGCTGCACCTGGGGAGGAAGAACCAGCAGCAGACCTACAAGCTAGGGAACTCCCTTCTCATCAGTGCAGAGGCAGAAAAGGATCTTGGAGTCATTATTGATGTCGGCCCATGTTCATTTTGGCAGTGTGGGGATGCAGTCAGGAAGGCCAACCGTACCTTGTTATGCATCCACAGATGCATCACGAGCAGGTCCAAGGAGGTGATCCTCCCCCTCTATGTGACACTAGTCAGGCCACAGTTGGAGTACTGCATCCAGTTCTGATTGCTGCACTTCAGGAGGGATGTGGACAGCATCGAGAGGGTCCAGAGGAGGGCCACTCGCATGATCAGGGGGCAGCAGGGCAGGCCCTATGAGGAGAGGCTACGAGACCTGAACCTGTTCAGCCTCCAAAAGAGAAGGCTGAGAGGGGATCTGGTGGCCTTCTATAAACTTACCAGGGAGGACCAGCGGGGAATGGGAGAGGCCCTGTTCCCCTGAGCACTACCTGGAGTAACTAGGAATAACAGCCACAAGTTGATTGAGAGTAGGTTCAGGCTAGACATCAGGAGGTGCTACTTCAGTCAGGGCAGCCAGGATCTGGAACCAACTTCCAAGGGAATGGGTGCTGGCTCCTACCCTGGGGGTCTTCAAAGGAGGCTAGATAATCACCTAGCTGGGGTCATTTGACCCCAGCCCTGTTTCCTGCCATGGCAGGGGTTCGGACTTGATGATCTGCTCAGGTCCCTTCTGACCCTACCGACTATGAACTATGATTGAGCCCTATATTTGCAATAGCCTCTGGGATTCCATATGCTGCCTCTCTACTCCATAGGACCCACCTTAAGGTCAAATTTAGCCTTAGTGCTGTTCCACTGACTTCTGGGCTAAGTATAGACAGTCAAGCAGCCTATGGCAAAATCAGTTCAATCTTCAGAAGTTTGTCTAAGCTGCACAGATTGAACTGATACCAAACTGAACTGATATTCAATTTTCAATTGGGAAAGGCAGGCAGAAGCCTGCACTGATCCAGGCCAAAAGCCAGGAGGTGCTAGAGCACTCCTTCCAGCCTTTCCCCATGGGAGGAAAGAGCCTCTGTTCCTGTGCTGGCCCCCTGAGCCAGGTGTCTGGCCACATGGGGACCACCATGCTTCCCCCCAGGCCAGCCTAGCATGCCCCTAGCCCTGGTCTACCCCGCTGCAGGGGCAGGTAGTTCTTCCCCTGGAGGGCTGGGCCAGCATGAGTCACTGATGCACAGAGTAGAGGGGGAAAGGAGCCCCTTTTCCTAAGGCTGAGCCCCTAGCCTGGCATCTGCCCACATGTGGGGGAGAGCCATGCTGCAGATCTCCAGGACCCTGGTGTGGCCAGGGGCAGGGGGTAATTCCTCTGATGTGGCTGGGCTGGAGGAGGAAGTCATTGATGCATGGGCAGGGAGGAGGGGGGAAAGAGGCTAGCCCCCTCCCTGGTCTTGACCCCCTGAGTTGGGGTCTTCCCAGCTGGGGGGGAGGGGTAGGCCTAAGAGGGAGTGGAGGAGGTGGGGTCCCCCCCTACCTGGTGCAATCCCCCAGGGCAGCCAGGTGCATCTTGCTGGCTGCTGCTGGTGCTGGGCTCCGGTGGGATGCACAAGGCAGCCTGGGGAGCTTCTGTTGGTTGGCAGAGCTCAATCTTTCCCTGTTCCTTTCCCTGATGCTTGGTGCAAATTCTCTGGGCCACCTGGCATGTCTTGCCAGCTGCTGGTGGTGCCAGGCTCTGGTGGGATGTACTGGGTGGCCTGGGGGGCTTGAGCTGGGTGGTGGGAATGGGAGCACTCCACAGAGGGCAGAATGGGGCCCAGTCCACTGGTGCAAGACTCCCAGGATGCCCTGTGTGTCCCACCACTGCACAGCAGCTGGCAAGATGTCTGGGTGGCCCCAGTGGCTTGTGCTGGGCAGTGGGTCTTGATTCTTCTTTCTATGGAGCCAGCCAGCCTGGGAAGGCCCAGCCATGCACAGGTGAAGGTGGGGGGACACCTGAATAAATGCAGCACTGCCTTACTAAACATGGCCTAATTGGCCTACCTCCCCTCGCTGCATTTTCCAGAAAAGGGGGATTGACTCTTCAGCATGATGTAGAGCTTGGGGACTGCTCACCTGGCAGGCGTCAGCTCCAATGCAGCACAGCTGTGTCAGAGCTGAGCAGGGATTTAACCCTTGTCTGCTGGAGCTCAAGGAAAGCCCCCTCATCTGGAAATGGACTATTGGTAAAAGTTTATTCAGGGTTGGAGCCATAATTTCTGGGGGTGTAAGTTGGCATTGTGTCATTTGCATGATGATGGCAGTTCGAGGTGCCAGTCGTGCACTGCGGGGGCTCTCCACCTACACATAATATAAAAACAATCCCTGCACTGAAGAGTTAATAATCTAATTGGACAAGACAGGTGAGGGAAGGGGGGTGGGGGGGGGATGAAGTGTGAGGTGCCCTGTTCCCAGGTGCAGTTAGTGGCTGAACCTGCAACACAAACAGGCTCTTCTCTTGTGTCTTCCTGGACAATGCTCTGTCCCCTAGACAGGCTCCCGCTCAGCACGGGGGCTTTGAAAGTTTCTCCTCAGAAGACCTGATCCTTGGATTTCTAACTGCCTCACAGGTAACTTGGTTTCTGGATAACAGACTTGTCCCAATTCAAGTCTGTTAATTTAGTATTTGGGTTAATATCCACGAGCTCCACTTTGTTTTGCTTCTGCTCATTCTGTGGGCACGGTGTCTTAGTTAACAGTGTGTATTTGTGCACCTGCTAAAATGTGTCTGTATTTAGGGTTGTGATCAGAAGTGAAGGGTTTTTTTTTTCCACTTACTGGCCAGGAGCACTAGTCTGCGAGCTTAGTCACAGGTCATGCCTGTCCCCCCACCTCTCTCTCCTGAGGGATGAAAGATGACTGTGTCTGCAGATGCACATGACTTCTGAGAAGAGGCTGAGTGAACTGGGCGTATTTGGTCAGCAGAACAGAAGACTGAGGGAGGATTTTATAGCAGCCTTCAGCTCCCTGCAGGGTGGTTGGAAAGAGGATGGAGCTGGACTGTCCTCAGTGGTGGCAGAGGAGACAACAAGGAGCAATGGGCTCCAGCTGCAGCGAGGGAAGTTGAGGTTAGATATTGGGAATAATTTTCCCACTAGAAGGGTAATAAAGCACTGGGGCAGGTTACCCAGAAAGTATCTCCATCCTTGGAGGTTTTCAAGACCCATCTGGACAAAGCTTTGGCTGGGATGATGTAGTTGGGGCTGGCCCTGCTTTGAGCAGGGGGTTGGACTAGAGGTGACCTCCTGACGTCCCTTCCAACCCTCATTTTCTATGATAACTGGATTGCATACGTGCTCACTGGTGGAGGGCTGTAACTTTTACATGAGAGATTCTCTTCTACCTCCCATCCCAAATGTGATTTATGGAAAACTGTGCCTAGCAAACATCTTCAGCTTGTAAGGCTTGATTTGATTTATAATTGTCTGCCTAAATATGAAGCCCAGCTTGGAGGCCTGAGACCAGGATAGGGAGGCTTTGTTTCCTCTCCCCCCTGGGAATCAGTGACTTGCGCTAGCCCAGCCATGGAAGGGGGGATGGTACGGGGATGGGGGACCCCAGCAGTTGCGCAGACTGGGGGGTGGGGGACAGAAACA